AACAAGTCAATTATTAATTAACAGTTATTAACGAGAATTATTTTTAAAATTGATCTGTTAAAGTACATACAATCTAGGACGCTTTCATCCTGCAATTGTATTAAAAAATTTGACTTTTCTACACTTTACATAGGTATTCCCCATACCAAACTAAAAGACATACTGTAAGAGTAGGTCCTCTAGCTTTTGTGTCATTACAAAGAGTGGCCAACGTTAAAACAAATACCTTATCTTACGTAGGGATACATCGTAAATCACTTTGATTCAAACAAAAAGTTCTCTGAAACTGAAATTATCAGGATGCCATAATTTTTGGTTGACAAAATATTTGTTACGTTTGGTGGACATGTCTTTCAAAAAACATCATTCCCATGGGAACCAACTGGCTATTTTTTGGCGACTTGTTGCTTTATTCATATGAGGCTGACAGGAACTTCGGAGGAAGAAAGAAAAGAAGTTAGCAGTAGCCTTTAACTTTACTTTCCGCTATATATAGATGAAGTTCTCTAACTAAATAATTCAAAATTAGGTGACTATGTTGAACGAATTCCCAATTGTGAACTTTCCTTTTCTATGTAGCAACATTCTAGCAGCGCCTACATACAGAGTATATATCTCCCAATTGATACGATATTGCAGGGTTTGTTTTTCCTTACTTGCTTTCCATAATAGAGGGTTGCTGCTCACAAGAAAGCTATTAACCAAAAGTTCCAAGTAGTGAAGTTGAAGTCATCCCTTCGTAGGTTTTACGGACGCCATCACGACTTATGTCGTAACTACAATCCCGTACCCTTTTCCCGGATGAGACCTACCGAATTAGACTTATTACCGGGTTAGTAACAACATGAGCAACACGACGGGTGCAACATGTGGAGCAGGATCTGCTTATCCTTCCAGAGCACCTGAGATCAGTCCGTGTTTTGGCGAGGTTCGTCGTGCTCAATCTTTAGTTTTATATGTTGTGTTTTGTGTACTATTGTTTGTCTATTGGTCTCTTTTTAAGCAAAGAGAGATAGAAACACATCGAATAACGAACAAAGGCATAATTGGGAATAATCTGCAAAGTATATCGAAAAATAATTGTCATTATCAAAAACATGAAGGATAACTCATGTCGTACGTATGAACGGTATGGGACACGTGTGTTTATGCGTGATTTTATGTCAGTAAAAATAAAGGCGGGAATCTGGAAAACCACATGATAAATAAAAATGCAAGATTTCTATCATCTTTCTCTCTTTCTATTTTTTCGCTTTTTTTTTTATCGTTATTCATCTATTTATTATATTTGTTGCGGGGAGAACATTTAGCAGGATATTTTCGGAAAATTTCAGAAATATCGAAACCCGTTTTTGTTAGAATTTGTATCTTTATAAAAGTTGAAAATTGAGAAAAAAAAAACTATCGCTGCCTTTTAATTTCTAAACAAAAGTAATTTTCATTGATATATGAATATTGATAATTTTTTTTTATATACATGTAGGTTGTATTAAAGAAGGAGTGCTTAATTAAGGATTGTTATGTATTGTTTTGTTTAACGAGGATGCTATCGCGCAATTGTTTTAATATACCTTTAAGTAAATTAACTAGTATTTTATCCATTTTATTGATAAACAATTAATGGGGGAGGGGTCACCTAATTCGTTTTTATGCATAAATCATTACCTGAAAATTGTTCGGTAAGAAACATAGAACAACATAAGATAATAAGATTTCGTTGCCAGGTGCGGATCCAGGATTTTGAAAAAGGGGGGGATCTTGGAAACGTTAAAAGTTGAACATGCTCCCTTCCTTTGAATCCTCCTTTTGGATGCACTATGCAGTCAAGACAGCTCTCTTTTGGCGTTTAATTCCCAATGCAGTATTGAATCTGACGATTCTGCACAAAGCTAAAATATGAGTATTAATAGGATGCAAGGCCATGTATATAAGTGTTAGTTGCATATGTTTTATACATATGCATATTTAAGACAAGAAGATGACTATGAACCAGACTTTGTACATAAATTAGGCTGTTAGTTTACTCGTTTGAATAGTTTTACATTGTCATTTCGGGACCTTTTATAGCTAACTATGCGGTATGGGTTTTGCTCATTGTTGGACGCCGAACGGTGACCTATAGTGGTTAATGTCTGTGTCATTTGGTCTCTCGTGAAGAGTTGTCTTATTGGCAATCATTCCACATCTTTTTTATATAAAATTCTATAAATTAATTTTGTTTTTCTCATGACCTGTTTTTATTTCAATACTGAGAATTTAACATTTAACCTACAGTTTCAATAAATTATATTGGTTAATGCGCATTCGAAATATTTTTTTTTGTACAACTCTGGATTTATTTTTCATAGACAAGATCTTTGTGCTAGTATGAGACCTATAAAGAGTATAGTCATCTAACAGCCCATCTTTTATGCCCCACCTAGAGGTATTATGTTTTTAGGTCTGTGCGTCCGTTCGTTCGTTCGTCCGTCCGTCCGTTTGTCTGTCTATCCCGCTTTAAGTTAAAGTTTTTGGTCAAAGTAGTTTTTTATGAAGTCCAATCAGTTTGAAACTTAGTACACTTGTTCCCTATATGATCTTTCTAATTTTTATGCCAAATTAGAATTTTGATCCCAATTGCACGGCCCACTGAACATAAAAAATGACAGTGCGAGTAGGGCAAACGTGTACTATGGACACATTCTTGTATTTAGGTGTTTCCTTAGTGTTGCGGGATTTAACCCCCAGTATGTACTCTATACAAGATTGTATTCAACATTATGTTCGATTGGTTGTCCGGGATTTATTAATACACAGCCACGTCCAGCAGCAGTGGGGTCGTCTGATCAAATCTAATGTAGGTGCGCACATTAGTTCTACACGGAACAGATCAGGGATTCATAAGGGGCTTGTTGCAAGACAAAATGTATTTCCCTGTGTAACATGCTCTCGTTTTCCAGGTACAGTTGAAATTTATGTTGTTACCATGGTCGACCTAGTATACATATCTATGGTTTTATTTTGTTTTACTTGTCTTGAATATGCATGCAGTTTTCGTCTTTTAATGTCCGGCATCAACATTCAATTAATTATTCAATCAAACATGATTAAAATTATGATTTTTCTTGTATTTTTAAATGCTGAAAACCAACTTGTAATTCAGATTTACAATAAACTGTCCACTTCCTACTGGCATAGACTTCTTTTACAAATTTAACCAAGTTGAGGCTTAACTGCCAAGATACAAATCATTTGTTTCACCAGAAATAAAATCCAAGTAACGCTACTGTCGATTAATAGTTGTTTGCTTAACGTCCAGTGTCAAATATTTCATGCATATTTAGCGTGCGCAGAGAGCGTGACATTCTCTCTACAAGAGGCATCGGATGTGACGTCTTCACTATGAACGGACGTGACTGCATACTTGTACATCCCGCATATCCGAAATGACGCCCTATCTTGGAAATTGGTTTAAAAACACAAATGGTTACCATATTTCTTTCCCCCGGTCATCCGAGAGCGGTTACTGTAAAATTGAGCACACTACTACAAGACCAAAGAGACAGTTATGAATATGGAAGATACATATACATGTACATGTATTATCAAAACATAACTCGTATTAGGTAGATAATTTTAAACGTTTTATATCTTGAACTAAACGGAAGAACAGAAGAGAACGGATGCACATACCAGTAAATATAATATCCACTCGCTATCATAAGTTGGTCATAAAACTAAAATTATCATCTTACTTTATAATAACAAAACTTTATCAAATATTCCGTACATATCCGTTTTTCATACATATTTGCATAAGTTAAGCGCCAAACATTTCAGAAAAACTAAATGTAAAAACTGATTTAGTCAAGTGTAATCATATTTTGTCTTGAAAATGCTTCCTCATAAATTCCATTTGAAAAAGTTCTAAGGAAAGGTGACAGAGTACCAGCAGAAAGATGCAACAGTGATCTGAATTTCTACCTCTAACAAAATTATCTTGATAGAACTATCAGAAGTTTGCCACAAAATTGAAGAAGCAAGTCGTGTACACCTTTTACATTCCGGTGTGGTTGAATCTATGTTTTAATTTTGTAACGTAAAAAATAAAAAATGAGAATATCATCTCGCTTCAGATTCCATTTCTTCATTTTTTTTTTCAAACTTAATTTTTATTTAGTAGCTTTCAGAATTCACCCTTTGAGAGATACATATATGGGTCAAGTGAAACGACGAAGTAATGATCAGTGCATTTGATTACTGGTAACTAAATTAATTATTCCCTTGAAAGTATGTTGTCTATAAAATCATCCCAAATTTAATAACACAATTTGTTAAGAATTAAAAACGCAGATTGTGCTAATTTTTAAATAGCATCTATTCAAACACGCGATTCTACGCCAGAGTATTTGTTAAAATTACGATTCGGTCCCAGTGTTTAAAATCTCTCGATCCTTTATGAGTTGATTTAGCATACATAAATAAAATACAAAAATAAGTAAGCAATAAACGAGGTTGTTAAATGTGATATATGCTTTTTTGTGCTTCTTTGTTAAATATTTGTTTGTTTTTGTTGTGATTAAGATTGTGATACGGTGTTGACTGCTGTACCCCTATTTTGACATTTTTACCTATTATGTCTGTTTGTTTTATTCACGCATCGGTGTCAATATAATGGAACTTGATGCGACTGTCATACAAGTGAGAGGTTTAGTGCTATAAAACTAGGTTCAATCCACTATTTTCTACATAAGAAAATGCCTGTACCAAGTCAGGAATATGACAGTTGTTGTCCATTCGTTTGATGTGTTTGTGCTTTTGATTTTGCCATTTGATTAGGGACTTTCCGTTTTGAATTTTCCTCGGAGTTCAGTATTTTTGTGATTTAACTTTTTCCAACAATTAGAGTATCTGTATTCAACGAGCCAACAATTCATGAAATCTATGTACCTCTATGCTCCCCTCAGTCATCCTTCAATGCAACAGGCCGAGATACGATCAAATAGGTTGGTTATGTCGAGTAATGTCATTTTATTGGAAATCGCTAATAAGAATTAACAAGTCACCATTACCAAATAACAAAACCACATCATATAATGAAACAACATCATTACGTTAATCCATGTACACATCAAGTAATGTTAAAACCACATTGCCTAATGACACCAACCACATTAAATAATGGTTAAACTATCTCAAAACATCATTATGTTGTCTCGGTAATGTCAAAACCATGTTATTTAAAGGCAAAATATCATTTAGTAATAATAAAACCACGTAACGCAATGTAAGAGTTCCACATACGACAGCTGATCCATAGTTTCCCTAGGAATGATGATTGCATGCTTTGAAACGAGTTCTCCAAATGAGGCCAATATGATCCAATTCAAGAAATCAAGCGTTTTGAACAAGTCAGTTTCAGAAGTTTTTGGTTTGATCAGTGTAATTTTGTACAAAGTCTGATATTTTCTTCACTAAATCAAGATATTTGATACTACGTTGAACATTCTTTTTTCATGAAATCAAGTTTGATCAAAACCTGTTTCTAGGTTTGGTATGGAGAATACTTGTTTACATTGTAGACAAGTCAAATGTTATATTATTGCAAGGTGAAAAAGACTTAGATCGTATGTATTCACACAAATTTTTGGAATAAAGTTATTTTTAGCTGAATTTGTCTTTTTTATGGAAAATATGTTTTCTCGCTATCCTAGTTTTTGCTTGTCTCGGTGGTATCCTATTTTTCACGCATATGTATGCGGACATTTATAGTTGATCCCATCTCAATATTGTAATCAAAAACTGTGAGGTGATTCCGGAGAATTTTATTTCTAAAGGATAGACTCTGTTGGTCAGGAGGTATTCCTGTTTTCTTGTGAACCTTTTCCTTTACATCACTTATTGTATTAGTTAACCTAACATCAACTGCATAACTCATTCCAGTTAAGGTTTTTACTGTTATCTAAAAAATACGTCAATGCAAGTTTGAACATAGGTTCCATACATCTTAAGTTAAAAAACGATTAGCGGAAAACTTCAAAGATAACTGACAATATTCAATCAGGTTTTTTTTAAACATTTGTTATGAAAAAACTGGTTGGACGTACACGATATACATATCGGCATGCCGGGTTTTTATATGAATAATTCGTCGGTTATTAAACAGACACATGATCTCTATTTGTCAGGATTAGTGTAAATCTTTAGCTATGATTAAGTTGTCGTTTTTTGAATACCATATTTTGAATTCTATTTATTAATTTTGTATTTTCTTTGAGTGTTTATGTTAATTTATTTGTTGTATATATCTAGTTCCTCTTTTTAATTAAATCCAAATGTTGAAGTCGCTGTGGTCTACTTACGATAATTATGAATCAGTGAACACCTCACTCAACATTAATAATGGTGACAGTTCAGTCAATTTGGAAATTAAAGAATTACTGACGATCGTACATACCAAAACTGCGTCCTGCACAGGACGTTCGATAATCGGCGCTGACTCAGCAAGAACCTAAATACAAAGATTAATGCATGTTTACATTATTTCACATTTGCATTGATATAACATAAAGTATTATCCATTACAAATTAGTTCGGTTTTAGTGAAAACTATATAACGATAGTTAATTTTCCGGACTCTCTTAATTGGTAACTGGACACAAAAATACAATATATACTGAATTAAAAAAAAAAATTTCAAGAGGTACAAAGTTTAGGTTCTTTTTTAAAACGGTCAACATGACTCTTTATTTACTGATTGCTTAAATAATGTGTTGTATATATGTTTTAAGTAATTTGTATTATAAAAAATTTATAATTTGATCAGGAAACCAGTTTTTATTTGTTCATTTCCGTTATTTGATTTGAAGACAGTGCAAGACAGCAGTGAGTTTTCAAATTTTCAAACGTGCAACTGATGGTCTTTAATTTCATTTAAACCTTTGTGTCATGTGTAAACACTTAAAATGCTGCTGTGATGCCTGACCAAGACAATTATAAGTCTTATAAATAAACTCATCGTAAAAACCGGGGATGAAAATTTTTTACACCATACGCGCGTTTCGTCTACAAAAGACTCGTCATTGACCCTCGAATAAAAAAAAAAAATAAAAGGCCAAATAAAGTACGAAGTTAAAGAGAATTGAGGATTCAATTAAAAAAAAAAAGTATTAAGGTCTTTTCCTTGGGTAGAAAATCCTTAGTAATTTTGAAAAAATCAAAGCTTTGTTAACAGATAAGGTATAAATATGACCATATCAATGTCAACACAGAAGTAAATATCTAAGGTAACTATAATCCTTTTTAGCGTAAAAACGAAGCGCTGGTCATTATTTATTATCAATTTTTTGTCAATTGTTGTACAAAATACATGTCGTTTGGGGAAACTAACTTATTAAAGTACAAAGTAAGACAGTAATCACGAACAATCCGTCATTATTCCTTTTAACCAATGCATTTTCCTCCACAACTTGAGAATGAGTGTAGTTATATTTCACTTTAAATTTATGATTATAAAAATACCGTTTGTATATGTTAATTTTGTTTGCTTTACTGAAATCATACTTACTGTCAAAACGGTCTCTGATATTCAAAATCATTTATTTCGATTTTTTTTAGAAAAGAAAATTTTGAATAAACAATGATAAAGCATTCAACCATCTGATAGTCAGCTTAGCTGTTTGTCAGTGTTTGATCACTTAAGTAGGCGAACCTTATCGGAACAGTCAGTGTAATTTTTGTAACATATTTAATGAACCATTGTATGATCTTTAGCAGTTAATTTTACAAATGCCATCGTTTCAATATAGGTCTGAGCTACTCGAATACTTGATTTCAACTTCATTTTTTGGAACCATTGGTCTAATAGCTTCCTAGTGAGCAGCAACCCTTTATCGTGGAAATATTGATAGGAAACGCAAACCCCTGAATATCGTATCAAATGGGAAATATATATGTGCATACACGTGGTACAAATACATTTATAGAACGACATTTGTACTTCTTTTCTAATTCAAAACTGGTCACATTTACAAAATCTTTTTCCTCCATATAATGTATTACATTTTGTTCAAATAGTTGAATATAAAATGTTCCGTGTTGATTATATGTCGGCATCATTTCAAATTTACATTTTACTTTTTTTAACTAAACAAATTTTACAAGAGCAAATATCCCTAATGAGTGTTTGTTTCAGTAAATTATATAGATAGCATGCATGGTATATTGTCGAATGCACACTTTACTCGACTTTTACACTTCTTTTCGTTTTAACAAAACTTAATAGTACACTTGCTTACTACTTCTTTTGTAAGTTAAACAACGTAACATATTTTTGTTTAAAATTAAAAAAAAATTTATTGTTGAATCTTACCTGAGTTACATCTTTAATTGTGTTGTCTTTCTTAGCTACTATGTCTACAGCAGTTTTTGCACTAAAAATGAAATGAGGATCATAATTTGTATGGTTTGATTTATGACGTACTTATGATCTATTATATTCCTAACTAAATGTAAAAAAACATGTTGGAAATTTCTGATATTCTATCCTCCCCTGGCCCCCAAAATATACTCTTAAAAAAAATGCAAGAACAACGCACACCTCTGTTTGCCAGATTTTTGCCCATTAACTGGAAACAACTCTTTTAACACAATAAAGTATATCATTGTAAAGTGATTCTCCCTATATCAGAAGGAAATAGAGTTCTACTCCAGTTGTTTGGGGCATGTATAATACAGCGTACCTTCAAATACAACCTCATGCCACGTTTAGAATATCAATCTTTTAAAATTATTTCTTTGCGATAAAGCTCTGAAATCAGTGACATTTTTAATCTTACAGATACAAGCTATGAAATCTTGCTTTTCCTATTGCATGGAACACATATCATATAGACATATAGGCAAGTCTACTGCTAGCAGGGGCATAATCGAAGAAGAATGGTTAATTCAGCAAATTCCATGGAATCAAGCAAGAATTAGAAAACTTGAAACGCTTAACTACTACAGCATTGTTGACAAAATTGTTAACGCATATTTCTTACTCTCGGAATAATAAAAAGCACCTCCCGAAAATAAAGAATCTATTCCTAAATTTTCAAAAAATACAGGGTGTTGTGTTCCAATGAACATGACACAAAAAGGTAGGAGCGTTCAAGGAACTTGCACCCTCTCCTTTATCCCAACTAAAAATATCCTAGCATTTTATAAATTACAAATGGAACATGCAAGGATTGACACCTTCCTAAAATACATGCTTGAATCTTCCTTTTTAAATTTTATTTTCTCGAAACTTATAGCTTAATGATATTAGTGTAAGCAAAATTGGGACTGTGTCTTAACTTTTGTTTTTTTAAATGTCTTTGTAAATCTGAAAATTTCATCGTAATTTCTTTTCGCTACTTCCAAGATAATTGGGGCCTCGGTGGCCAAGTGGTCTAAGTAGTTCAACTACTGCATCACTAGCCAGTCAACACTGAGGTTGTGAGTTCGAATCCCGCACGGGGCAGGTGCACTCGACTCCAATCTTAATTGTTGACTAGGATTGTCAATTTTCCCTCCGAAGGTCTGTGGTTCTCTCCGGGCATTCCGGCTTCCTCCACCAATAAAAACTGACCGCCACGAAATAGCACAATACTTTTGAAAGTGGCTTTAAACACATATCAATCAATCAATCCAAGATAACTGCCCGTTGTTTTTAATCGAGGAAGTGCACGTGTCCTTTTTTCTCTTTTTTACGGAAGGGGACATTTTACCTGTTTCTTTCAGTACAGAATTTTCATTACATATTTTAGCGTATTTACTAGACGATATCGGGATATGGGTATTTAGTCGGATCTTAACAGAAAATTGTGATAATATTAAAAAACCGACAGGGATAAAAATAACAAACAATGTCAAAATGTTCAGGCTTTAATTAAATCTGTATTTGGGTAAGTTGATGCAAGCATACGATCTGTATTCGTCTTTTACTATGAGAGGCAAATAATCTTTAACTGCTATATTATATTACTGTTTAAACACGTTAATGATGAGCAATGAAAGTCAAGTAGGTCGAGCATTTTTCTGAGTAAGTTTTAAAAAATTTCAAACAAATATTCTTTACTGTGGGTTAGCATTCATTAGTCGTCACTATCCTATAGATTAACAACTTTTGGTTATATTGATAATGTAGAATCTTCCTTGAAGGTGGAGCACGAATGCGGTGTTAATTAAGTCTATTGATGTGTCATTTGTATGCAAGAGAGACATTCCTTTGTACTATGTTCCGATTCGAAAAAGTCAATTGAAACTATGCGAGTATTGTCTCCCTTGAACAGGTTCATAATTTTATATTTACGTATAGTTATTTGATTTAATTTTAAATAATTACAAAATTTATAAATTCAATAGATTTCCGTTTTTGTTATTGGTTTATTAAAGACATTGATGTATAAATATAATTTTATTAATTTGTTTTGAAACGTTTAGATTTATTATATACCAATATAAAGAACCTTTCATAATGTTTTAAATACTATTCAGTTACATTAAAGAAATTAAAACACCGACCATGCAAGAATTGCAGGAGAAATTACGGTCGTTCTAAACCCCCTCACTCTCAAGATACTTTGTTTAGTGAGGCAATTGACTGTAACAGTGCATTTGCCTCAGACAGATACAGTTTACTGTCTGTTTATAATATGAGGTAAAACATTCAGGTGAACAGCACACTTGTTAATAGACACTTGTAGTCATTGATCCTGCTACTTTTCAAAACATTTATTGTTTTAATATGGTGTATATAATTATGTAAGAATTCAAATGAAGCAGACAAATTGCCTTAATATAGTTGCATTACTTGATTCCTTAAAGACAAATACATATATACTGTGACACCCCTAACACAAACACACACAAGATACACATACGCACAAACTCAAAAACAGAACACCATAACCACCACTTTATTCCAGAAACTTTAAACTTATGTCAAATGCTTTAGTGAGAAATTATGATTAGAACCTATATAAAGCATTTGAACTTTTATGAAAAAGACTATATATGAAAATTATCTCCCCATAATGATGAAATGTTGGGAAAATAAACCAGAGTTGTCTTACATTTATTACAAAGAGGGGCTTGCAAGCAATTTTTAATTTGAGCTTAATTAACGCTAAAACAATTTCCCACTAAAAAGGAATGTTACTTTATTCAATTATAAGGACTTAGTTACCCACGTCTACTAATTTTATTTGGTATAAGGAATTTTGATGACAATAGATAAACATGCTACATATTTGCCCTTAACACATCACACAAACAATCAATTATTGAAATGAATTTAAAAAAAATATGTAATGTACGTCTCCTTACATTAAACAAACTGTTAATAAATGAATCAACCAGTCAAATAACTAATCAACCATTCAACCAATACACCCAACGTTTAACACCAGATCGATAAGACGAACTTGTCACTTTATATCATGCAAACATGTTATATACGATCCAACCAAGCAATCAACAATAAATCATGTTTAACTAACAAAATATGTAATGACCATCATTAACAATTGTTTTCTAAAAGAAATATTTGCCCATCAATTAATATTTTATATACGTTAACAGCTATGTAATTAAATATATATATAATGGAAGCTGATAATGTACTTACAACACTTTTAATTTTGAGTTGATCCCTTATTCAAATATCTGAACTGTAGACTCTCGACTCTCAATTGTCAATTGTATACAGTAACTAACATGTCATATAGATTGAAGCATTACTACATATTAACCGCTAAACAGTTATGAACGCGTACATGTATGGCCATAACTTCGATACTTATACTCTGCATTTTTAAGGTAAAATAAGGTGTAAGAAAGCTTTACGTTATATTATTTTGATGTATACTGGCGTTGATATTTTATTTCGGGGAAAAATTCATCTATGTGTTGTAATTATCTTTTACCTAGCTTTTAATAAAATCTTTGATATTTAAATAATCAGACAATGAACAATGAAAACTATACAAGAACGAACATGTGACATATGCAACCAACAGACGGTAATGTAAGTCTATAAAGATCTTTAACAAGTATCCATATCGTGAAAAAGAGAGGAAAGATAACAAAGGGACATTCAAACTTATAATTCAATAATAAACTGACAACGCTATATAGGGAAGCAAGAAAAATCGAAAAACAAAACAACAGTACACAAACCACAACAAAGAAAACTAAAGACTGAGCAACACGAGCCCCACCAAAACCCGATGTCATCTGGTTTTGGATAATTTGGAATGTCATCCAGTTTGTCAAAGGTGCTCTGGTGTGTATCATAAGACTGGTAAAAACGTGTGTCATGGGTTTCTTTCAACAACTGATCGAAAGTAGAAGTAGCATTTGCATAGTCATCTTTCAGTTTCTCAAGTTTTTTTACTGTCCTATCAATTTGCTCATTTTTTAGTTGTTTATAATCCGTGACTTCATTTACACGAATATCTTTCACAATATCAATAATTCCATGCAAAGCTTCAGCAATGGACTTAATTTGCCATTTGACTTTTTCAGAATCTTGCTCAACTTTCTCGCGATGTCTCGAATTCACATTGTAAATTTCGTCATTGATTTCTTCTAGTTTCCCCTTACCTTTAGAAATAAGATGAATAGAATTTTGACGAGCATCCTTGAATATTTCTTCAGTTCTTGAAAATTTGTGTCCATTATGTTCCGCTAATACGCATGCATAGCAAATCGAACAATTGCATTTGTTGCAAAATAAAAAGCACAGCTTTTGGCGGGTTGAGCATTCTAACTGCGATTGAAAAACAAATCTTCCAACTTTGTTCAAATCTCTCACTGTGTGCTTACTAGTGGACGGAATTTTATCATGGAAAGATCTACAAGATATACACATTGCTTGTTTACATTCGTAACAAAATATTGAACCGTCATTTGCAGAACATAAATCGCATTGTGTTGCTGATATCTGTGCCATTGTAGTTAATTCAGAGATGACATCAAATATGTCAACAAGGAAGATGTTTACGTCATAGTTTATAAATACTTCTTTCTAATGATTATTTTCAATATTAAAGATTTCCAAACGAAACGACATGGACTAATGATATAGATCGTCGACAATATATCTTTGAATTAAACATTTTTTTATCAATAATAGTTTTATCCTTTATACTCTAGTGTTAAAAGTAAATTTTGTTTAAAATCTTCATCCCAGGTGTTAAGTTGATAGAAAGTAAAATAAAGGGTTGATTCTGAGTTAATAAATTCCCCAAAAACAAGATACGGCAGTGTTGTGTAAAGTATGTTGTATAAAAGTAAAGCAATGAATTTTTATTTCGAGCAATGAAGAAAAAATAAATAAATTCAAATCCTTTAATCAAACACCAGTGGTCTTCTTTAAATGCAAACACAAAATCATTTCTG